GTCGCTTTCAGTCATGGGCTGGATGCGCTTCACGAAGGACCTGCACGATGGACGCACCGAACAGATATGCATCGTTTCGGATATCGAAAGGGTGAAAAGCGAAGCGGAGGAGGTGAGGTAAGTCTACACTGTGAGTGCCGCGGAGAGTAAGGACACTCTCAGCACGAATACGAACAAGTACCGCTTCGACGAGCAGAGCTGGGACTCGGTGAAGTCGAGTCCCTTCTAAGATGTTCTGCTGGAGCCCGAGGATTTGCTATAGAGATTCCTGTGGAATCTGCGCATAACAACAGTATACATCATGATATCGACCTCGTGTCGGGTACAAAGTACTGTGTGGCACGGCAGTGGCCATTGCCGCGAGATTAAGTAAAGGCTATCGACTTCTTTGAAAGTCGTCGTAAGGCAGATCAAGTGTGGGGAATCAAAGGCCCCCGTGTGCACCGTTCATGCTTACAACAAGCCGAGCGACGCGGCGATACCGGCGCAGACGCCGATACCACGAAAAGATGATATCATCGATTCGATGGCCAAACGCACCATCTATAGTGCTCTTGATCTGCGCGACGGGTTCTATCAGATCCTGATGCGTCGAACGAGTATGTCTTCCGTCGTCGACATTCATCGACGACGTGAAGAATGCGTATGCGAGTGACGCAGACGCGAAACAAGTGCTAGCCTATGTCTTAGCACCCTCCGACGAGTAACGTCGGAAGTTGTCGTCACATCTGCGAGCTCGCGCACAATGATATCGGTGTGCACGAAGGATTGCTGCTTCACAGCGCAATGGACGACGATGCGATCCCCATCGTCGTGCCGAATGATTATGATCTGCGTATGCGGATCAAGTACGTGTATCATACGACAGGGAATCCGGGCCATGAGAAGACATACACTCTTCGCACGAGGGGCTTCTTCTGGAACCACCTGTACAAGTGGGTGCGCAAGTACGTACGTGCTTGCACGGTGTGACAACGCGTGAAGCCTGCTGCTTATTTGCAGGCTCCCCTACAATCACTACCGACACCGTCGTTGTGATGACAGTCCATTTCTATGGACTTTGTTTTCGGGACAACCAGCGGAGAACTGGCGTTGTGGTCTTTGTTTACCGATTCAGCCATCTTGCTGCTGTACCGGCTGACGTCACGTCCGTGCAGACTGCACGACGGTTTGTTGACAAGGTTTTGTGCCACTATGAAATGCCGCTCGACATTTTGTCGGACCGTGACCCACGCTTTACATCGCGGTTCTGGCAAGAAGTGTTTACACTTCTTGGAACACCGCTGTCGATGTCGACTGTGGATCACTCAAAGACGGACAGTCAGACCGAGCGCGTGAATCGCGTGCTCGGTGACGTACTGAAGATCTACGCACACTTTTTTCCACAGTGGAGCGACTGTTTGTCGATGGCAGCGTTTGCCATCAGCAACTCGGTGTGTGTGTGGGGGGGGGGGAGTTTGCATCGAAACAACCGCAGAAGAGCACTAATACCGATGTGGTCTCAGCGGAGGCGACGTAAAGACAAGTGTTTCGTTTCGGGAACGAGGTGAAGACACCTGCCACGACATGCCATTTCTGACTTCGGTGCAAGCAAGCTTGCTGCGCGCTACGTCGGTCCGTTTACAGTGCTTGAACGGCATGGGTACGCGTATATGTTGGATATACCATCCAGCGTGTGACTCTATTCGATATTTTACGTCGGGCGGTTAAAGCCTTATGAGCACCATGAGCCACCAAGTCTTGATGGCTCGAGGGCGACGAAGCGACGTGTGCTAGCTTCTCAAGCGCGACGACGCGGTCGCGCAGGCGTCTCAGCACCGATTCAAGTGCAACTTGGATGTTAGAAGCGATCTGAGCAGCCGCGGCGACCTGCGCCTTCTGTAGGCGCAGCTCCGGCTGCAGGACAGCGAGCTCCGCGCTCTGGGATCGTTCCAGAGCGACAACACAATCGTGCAGAGCGCGAGAGCCATGGTGAACCATAGGTTAACCATACAGAGGGTATCTTTTTACCCCCGCCCCACTGCTGCGTGACGCGCACGGCTCGACACGTTGGATTGGTTAGCTGGTGGTGGACTATGAAGCCCCGAAGACGAGCCGAGATTAGACTCGTATTCGTTGGTGAGGATTTACTCCCCATCGAGATACAAGGGAGCCACGGGACGTCCTGGAAATGGTGAGGGCGTACGAGGCCCAGAACCAAGTGCAGGCATAATGCCTGAACTAGCGCTACGAGTGCCACCCGCACGGGGTGCATCGCGGTGCTCAAGATGAGCACGAGGTCTTGCAGTGAAGCGGGTACACGCACAGAAGTGTACCCGAGATGTTCACTTTCATAAAGGCGCACTGTTCCGAAGTGGCAGTGCGAACACGCTGCTTCAGGTGGAACTGCGCAGGGAATTCCCTTCTCCATAACGTCATTATGGAGGCGATCGATGAGATGACACCTCGAGAAAACCTCGAAGCGCTGGCGTGTTGCGACAATACGCTCGCGGTAGCCTTTCGCATTGTTGCTGAAGCTCACACTAAATGCGTTCCAGGATTGACAAAGTGCCTTCCACTCAGACACTTTGCTTTTGCACGAAGTTTTCTTCGTCGAAGCTCATGGAAGATCCCGATGTAGTAGCCACGCTTCTGATTCGTTAACGGATTAATGTTCATGTTGACGGCCTCAGCGTCATCATTTGATGGCGCTGCACACGTACAGTCCTATCGGGTTCGGCTGTGATGTCGCGCCGAGCCTGTCAGCGATTTCAGATGCAGTTGGCATCCAGGGGGCGCGTACGGCAGGTGCCGTACGCTGAGAAGAAGGCGACACCGACACAGGTGGCTGCATCGCTTCTTTTATTATGCGGACGCTTTGATCCCGGAGCGTCCGGACCATCGTCACGGCCTCGTTACGACTCGACTCAACAGGGGGATATGCGTTGGTTCGGTCGACTTAGTGTCGACAGCTGAAGCCAAGCAGCCTTCGGCTTCCATGGGAACGTCTTCAATGGGTATATCTCCGTCGGTAGACACAGCTGGCAAGCCCTCCATGACGACTGACGACCTGTCAGACGTAGCTTGTACGCACTTCTTCTTATGCAGGTATTGAGTGGCAGAAAGGATGTTTCTGTCCCGGGCGTGTTCGCTTGCGCGGACACTGAAGTGAGTGTGCCTGCAGGTGCAGGCACAGACGTAGCAGAGTCCGTCGGAGCGGTCTCTTGCGCGGACATCTTCCTTGACGAGACCATTGCGAAATGAGCTCGGGGTTCTCAAACTGTTTTACGGTCTCGTCAATACTCTGAATGATGTGTTAAGACTAAAGAGCCTTAGCTTATCGGGGGTGGGTGGAGTAACGGGGCTACACGCAAGTGGGAACACATAACCACATGGTCACGAAAGCGTTTTTCCTCGTTGGTGTGAGATACACCAATGGTTACATATAGCAGACTGTTGGTCTGCTACATGTATTCATTGGCTGAAAGACAGAATATTCAACAAGTTAGAATAGTAGGATTCTGTCAACCATTCGCTGATGAATACCTTTCATTCAGAATATTAGATTAGGATGAAACTCAAACAAACAAATGAACCGTTTTCTTTTTTTCCGGAAATCAGCTTTAATTTCCTATTTATTGAGCAATTCGATGCTTTTGTCCTTTTCCTTTAGCCTGGTGCTCGATTTATATTTAACAAAGGTCGTTTTATTAAAATGAGGTATATAAAAAGTACTAATCGATCTAGCAAGACTGACTGATAAATCGAGCTACGGCAGTCAAATCGACCGCTCAGGATCGATCAACCGCCAAATCCTCATTGCTATCCTGTAAAGCGACCGTTTTTGCCGTTTTGAAATGGTAATTCGATCAAAGAAGAAACATATTCGATGCCTGCCTCTTCCAATCTCATTTTTACGCGTGGTTTAATGCGCCGACAGTGCTTAATCTAGGCTATAAAACGGGTGTGCACATTTCATCTGCAAATCAAAATAAGTAAATCTATACTTCCGAACGAGAGAATAGTTAATCTAAGTGAAATGCAGCTTACGCTTCCTCATACTCGTGCGTTAACGTGTAAGCCAAAGTTGTGAGCTTAACGTAGACCCATTACAGTAGATATGTGCAGGTACATACATCGTAAGTCTGAAAACGG